AAGGAAGAGGGAGGGATGTGGGTGGACTTCCCTTTGCTGACCTCGGTCTGAGTAGGAGCTGGACCCCCACCCTCCCCTCCTTGCCCTGGGGTGCCTTCATTTGGATCCCAGCCCTGACTGGCTTTGTAATTTCAATTTCTCCTGGGAAGATAATTAGGAGTGGAGATTCAGCCGGGCTCCGTTTGATCTGCTGCCAGGCCAGAGGGGAGATCAGCCGGGAACGTTCCTGCTCCAGTTTGAGCGATCTGCTTGCACCCCAAGTCTCGGAGGGTGACCCCCTGTAACGGGGGAACTCATCGACACCCCCGCCTCCCCATTACATCTCTGTATAGGGTTTCCTGCTTGAGCAGGGGGTTGGACTAGATGACTTCCAAGGTCCCTTCCAACTTTTATTATTATTATTATTTTTATTGTTGTTAATAATAATAATAAAGTTGGAAGGGACCTTGGAGGTCATCTAGTCCAACCCCCTGCTCAGGCAGGTAACCCTATACCATTTCGGACAAATGGCTGTCCAGTCTCTTCTTAAACACTTCCAGTGTTGGAGCATTCACCGCTTCTGGAGGCAGGTTGTTAATAATAATAATAATAATAATGTTGGAAGGGACCTTGGAGGTCATCTAGTCCAAACCCCTGCTCAGGAAGGAAACCCTAGACCATTTCGGACAAATGGCTGTCCAGTCTCTTTTGAAAAACTTTGTTGTCGTTGTTATTGTTATTATTGTTATTGTTGCTGTCCCGCCATGGTCATCTCACCCTCCAGCGAGCAGGACACATTCAGAAGGAACTCATCGACACCCCCCTCCCCATTACATGTCTGACAGGGTATAGGATTTCTTGCTTGAGCAGGGGGTTGGACTAGATGACCTCCGAGGTCCCTTCCATTATTCCGTTCTTATAACGCTGCTTTCCTCAGAGATGGGACCAGATGCTTCTTGTCCTGCCCTCTGGTGCTTTAGGGAATAACCTGACCCCCTCCTCTGCTTTGGGGCAGCCCCTCAGATACTGGAGGCACAGCTTCAGGATCAGAAGCGGGAAGCTGGGCAAGGGGGAAGCGGTGGGAGCGCAACCCAGGTGCGCTTTGGGTGCCATCAGCGCAGCGTCCGTGGCTGGGCGGCTCCTACGCCCGCCGTGGGCAAGGCAGAAAATGACCTTGACGCCAATCTCTTTTCCAAACAGACGTGGGGGAAAGAAAAAAAAGATTTTAATGAATGCCAGTTGGAGAGAGGCCAGCCTTGCTTCCGCTAAACGCAGTGTTTCTCAACCTTGACCATTTTAAGGCATGTGGACTTCAACTCCCAGAATTCACAGCCAGCAATGCTGGCTGTGGAATTCTGGGAGTTGAAGTCCACATGCCTTAAAATGGTCAAGGTTGAGAAACACTGCGCTAAAGAGAGTGTGCCCCCCCCGCCCCCGCCTCCAGCCTTGCCTCCTTCCCCAGTTGGCTGGCTGCCCTTCGGGGTCCCTCTGGCTGAAAATGGCTGCCCCCCCCCCCAGGGGACGGCTCTGAAATGTGGGAGTTTTTAACAAGAGACCGGACAACCGTTTGCCTGAAATGGTCTAGGGCTAGGCCTAGGTTCTCCTGCCTGAGCAGGGGGTTGGATTAGATGACCTCCAAGGCCCCTTCCCAGTCTGTTATTCTGCTATCCTTCCTTCCTTCCTTCCTTCCTTCCTTCCTTCCTTCCTTCCTTCCTTCCTTCCTTCCTTCCTCCCTCACTCCCTCACCACTGGAGGTTTTTAAGAAGAGACTGGACAGCCATTTGTCTGAAATGGTACAGGGTTTCCTCCCTGAGCAGGGGGTTGGACTAGATGACCTCCAAGGTCCCTTCCAAGTCTGTTATTCTGCTATCTTTCTTTCTTTCTTTCTTTCTTTCTTTCTTTCTTTCTTTCTTTCTTTCTTTCTTTCTTTCTTTCTTTCTTTCTTTCTTTCTTTTCTTTCTTTTCTTCCTTCCTTCCCTCCTTCCCTCCCTCCCTCATCACTGGAAGTTTTTAAGAAGAGACTAGACAGCCCTTTGTCTGAAATGGTATAGGGTTTCCTGTCTGAGCAGGGGGTTGGACTAGATGACCTCCAAGTTCCCTTCCAAGTCTGTTACTCTGCTATTTTTCTTCTTTCTTTTTTCCTTCCTTTCTTCCTTCCTTCCTTCCTTCCTTCCTTCCTTCCTTCCCTCCCTCCCTCCCTCCCTGCATCAATGGAACTTTTTAAGAAGAGACTGGACAGCCACTTGTCTGAAAAGATATAGGATTTCCAACCTGAGCAGGGGGTTGGACTAGATGACCTCCAAAGTCCTTTCCAACTCCATTATTGTTATTTATTATCTCCCTCTGTCCCTAACAGAGGTAGGGGGACAGTAGGCTGACCTCAAACCACCCCAATTTGAGCCACGGATTAACTACCTCTGGTCCCCCCCCCCGGGAGAAAGCCAGTCTCCTATCATTTGGGGGGTGGGAGTCTGGACTTAAAGAGACTCCCTGCCCCCCCCCGACCAGTTCTGGGGTATCCTCCATTGATGAGGAAGGGTCTGTTCTTCAGGATGAGTTATGACTTCAGCAATGTTTAAGCATGCAGAGCAGAGCAAAACCACAAGCACCTTTGCTATCAATACAGGTGGTCCTCCACTTACGACCACGACGGAGCCCAAAATTTCTGTGGCTAAGCAAGACAGTGGCTGTGAGTTTTGCTCCCCCCTTTATCGTCTTCCTTGCCACCGGAATCACTGCGATCGTTAAGCGAGTCACACAGTCGTTAAGTGAATCCGGCTCCCCCCCTCATTGACTTTTGCTCATCAGAAGGTCACAAAAGGGGACCTACACAACTGCAACAGTCATAAATACGAGACGTTTGCCAAGTGTCTGGATTTTGATCCCAAGGATGCAGCAAATAGTGTGAAAAAGGGTCATAAAGTCATTTTTCCCAGTGCCGTTGTACGTTTGAAGTCACTAAGTGACCTGTTGTAAGTTGAGGACTACCTGTACAATGCTTCATATCAACCCCCCCCCCAAAAAAAATTGTTCTCTAAAGCAGATCTTTTCAATCACGGGAACGTTAAACCCTACAGACTTCAACTCCCAGAAAGTGATGGAGGTTGAGAGATACTAATTGCAAAGCAGATTCTGATTAGACGTATTTTCTCCACATTAGATTTTGAAGGACTCACACAGCACAGCCAGGCAGAGGTTGTTTGCTTTTGCCAAGGGGGGGGGGGAAGATGGCATTAGGGATCAGGGGCAACAGTCAGACACACCCCCCCACCCCACCCTTGCCAAGGCAGCCTTTGGCCTGGCAATACTGCAAAGCAGATGGTCAGAAACTGGAACGCCATAATCGCCCCCCCCCCCATTTCACATGACACCCCCCCCCCCAAACCCTTGCTGGAGTTTAAAGATTTTGAAAAGAGGGTCTCCCCAGCCCCCAGCCCAAAACCAGGATTGGGCACGGATGAATTCGTCTGAAAAACCGATTCAACCTTTTGAACATGTTTGACTCTCCCTGCGGTTAGTTGTGTCTGTGGTGCCCTTTGCTGTTTTTTTTAAAAAAACCCAGTGATTCTCAACCTTGCCAGCTTGAAGACGGGCGGACTTCAACTCCCAGAATCCCCCAGCCACCCTAGGCAGGCTGGGGAACACTGGGAATTGAAGTCCGCGGGGTTTAAAGTTGCCGAAATGGAGAAACTCTGCTTTAGGGGACAATTTGGGAGGGTGGGGCTTTAACGTGAAGCATTAGTCCTCGGTTTACGGCCATTGGTTTAGTGACTGCTTGTTTAGTGAGCGTTTGTGCCGGCTGGGGAATTCTGGGAGTTGAAGTCTTCAAGCTGGCCAGAGGGAGAAAAAAAATGAGAAAAAGCAAGTCAGTTTAGCTCCTGCAAGTTCAAAGCTTCCCTTTGGTGTCTGTTTTCCTGGGGGGCGGACTAATGCCCCCACACCCCTGGGATGTGGGCAAGGAGGGGTGGGCACCCCAGTCCCATCAGTTGCCCCACGGCCTCACAAAACCCCACCTTGGTTTATCCCCCCCCCATCACCCCATCCTTGACCTTCTTCAAGCCACAGTGGGAAACCGCTGCCCCCTCCCCAGAGACGGTCCCTCCTGGGTGCAGCTGGGGTGGGGGTGGGTGGGCAGGGGTCTCTCCTGCTCCTGCTCTCACCCCTCCCTTTTGGGAGGCGAGGCTTCTTTCGAGCCTGGCTGCGTTTCCACTCTTCCGGGAAGCTGATTGGCAAGTCACAGGTAGGCTGCCACTGCAGGGAGAAGCTCCACCTGACCCCCTCCCACTGCAATGGGGCAGGCAGGGTCTCTCCAACTCCCGTCCTGCCCTCTCTTTGGAAGCTTGGCTGGAGCCTGGCTTGGTTTCCAGGCATCAGGAGGCTGAGTGGCAAGTCACAGGTAGGCTGCCACTGCAGAGGGAGGCTCCACCTGACTCCCCACACCTTACTGCAGCGGAGGCGGGGCAGGGTCTCTCTCTCCGACTCCCTCCCTGCCCCGCCCCGTTTGGAAGCTTGGCTCGAAACGGGCTTGGTTTCCAGCCGTCCGGAGGCTGACTGGCAACTCGCAGATAGGCTGCCACTGCACGGAGAGGTTCCACGCGAGCGCGGAGGATAATGGGGGGGGGTTTCTCTCTCCGGTTTCGACTCCCACCCCTCCCTTCGGGAGCTTGGCTCCACAGGTGGGACTGACCCCGCAAGGGGGGGGGGGCTCCACGCGGGCATCCCCAAGAAGCCCGGGCAGAAGCAACGGCAGCAGCGGCGCCCGCGGGCGCCTTTCCAGTTGGCAGGCAGCGGAGCCCGGCGGGCGGGGTGGGTGGGTGGGGGCGAGACAGGGGGCGGGGAGGGGCGGGAAAGGAGGGGCGGGGCCCGGCCCGGCCCCTCCCCCTCGCCTCCAGCAGCCCGACCCGCGGCGCACACAATAGCGGCGGCGAGCGCGGAGCTCGGCGGCGCTGGGCTGGGGGCGGCGGGGCCTGGGCCGGCCGGGCGGGCGGGCGGGCGGCGGGGCCGGAGGGTCAGCCGGAGCCATGCCGGGCTTCGACTACAAGTTCCTGGAGAAGCCGAAGCGGCGGCTGCTGTGCCCGCTGTGCGCCAAGGCCATGCGGGAGCCGGTGCGCGTCTCCACCTGCGGCCACCGCTTCTGCGACACCTGCCTCCAGGAGTTCCTCAGGTCGGTGGGCGACCCGGGACCCCCAGACGAGCCCCCCCCACGCCCGGGCCCTGGCTCCCCCGGGGCGTGTGCAGAGGGCCCCCCCGCGCTGCCCCAGCGGAGACCCCGGCCCGGGCGAGCTGGCTGGGGAGGGCCCCCCCTCTCCTCTGCCTCTCCGGGCAGGGGGCTGCCTCGGGGCGGGGGGGGGTCGTCGTCGTCGTCTCCTCTTGGCCTGATCGGACGGAGCCCGCGCGTTCCTGCGGGGGTCTCAGCGCGGGGACCCCGCCGGCCCTTCCCACGCGAGGCAACCCCTTCCCCCCCCCTCCAATTGAACCCTGCCCTGTTTGATGCCCGCTGGCCGGGAAACGGCCTCCCCCCTCCCTCCCCCGCGGAAGCATCGCCCGTGTTTGCAGAACTCCGCCGAGCAAAGTTCGGGCCGGGAGAGGGCTGGATCCCAGGGAGGAATTTCTCCCCCCCCCCAGCCATGCTGCCTATCTGGCTCCTTCTCTCTTCTGGGGTTGGGGGTTATTGGGGGGGGAGCGGCTGGGGGCGGGAAGCGGAGTTTAACCCCGAAAGGGGCTGGGGGGCGGGCGGGCGGGCGGGCGCTGACCTGGCCTGCCCAGAAACTCGCCGACTTTCGCTGGTTTCGATGCTTCGGTGCTCCTGGGATGGGAGACCAACAGGAGATGTGCAGGGCGGTGGCTGGACCAGGAAGTCCCCAAGAAAAAGGAACGGGAGGAAGGCTCTGTTTAAGGGACGGCGAGGCTTCCCCCCCCCCGCCGGGATCCTTTTTTTCTCCAATTCAGGTGGGATGTGCAGAATAACAGAGGTGGGGGGGACCCAGGGAGGTCTTCTAGTCCAACCCCCTGCTGTAGCAGGAGACTATCAGGGAGGTCCAGTCTTGGGAAGTTGAAGACTTGGGGACTTCAACTCCCAGAATTCCTCTCAGTCTTCTTCTTGGCTGGGGAATTCTGGGAGTTAAGTCCACAAATCTTCAACTTCCTAAAGTTGGACACACTCGCTCTATGTCCCATTCCGGACAAATGGACGTCCAGTTCTGGACTGAGTCTACATCAGCCAGCAAGTCCACCGGATCTCGGCTCTCGACAAGTCCGAGAAAACAAATAGGTGGGCGGCTGCAGAGAAGGCAGACTCCTGCAAGGGTCTGGGGTCCATGTGGAAGTGTTCCTGGCTATCTTTGGGGCGTGGCGTGGGGGGGCACGTCTGGTTGGCCCCCTTTTCCATCTCAGGAGCCCTGTGTGTTTGTGAAGCAGCGAACTCACTCTTCCGCAGAGATTCTGCTTCGGAATAAGCGCCATAAGCTTTGCAATCTATAATCCCGCCCTTGAGTTGTTGTTTGTTGTTGTTGTTATGTGTGCGCGTGCATGCAGGAGCCCCAAACTCACATAAACACACCACAGGGATCTGGATTATCTGGACAGCCCAGATAGCTTTGTTCCTACTTGGGCTGGGGGCTGATTGAGGAGACCCTTCCCAAATTGGATCATTGGGTTTTAAGTCCACAGTTGCTGGGGGGGGGGTCACCCTGTGCTCACCCCATTTGAAAACGTTGCGTTGGTGGGTGTGGGGAGGGGGGCTGGGAGGGCTGCTGTTTTCCTAGCCTGGAGGGGGTGTCCCCAAGGTGGGTGGGATGAAGAGGGTCTCCCCCCCTCCCGCACGGTGTGGAGACAAAGGCAACCCCGGAAGGAGTGGGGGGGGGCGTCACATAATGGCTGTTTGCCAACCTCAGACACTGGGGGAGCAGCTTTGAAGCCCCCTCTTTGACGGGGGCTGAGTGCAAGCTCCCCCCCCCACTTGCCCTGCCCCAGTTGGAAGCAGCCTTTGATTCCAGGAATGTGCCTGGAGGGAATTAGGGGAGGGGGTGTCTCTCTCCAGCCCCAGCCAAGGCTTAGAAAGGCTTGCTTGCCTGCATATTTTCCCCACTGCTTTGGGGTGGGGTGGGCGAAGTTGCTTGCAGGCCATCCCTCCCTGCAGGGGAGGGGGCTGTGGGAGTGAACCCCCCCCCCAGCCCGGCCTGGGTCCCAGAAGTGAGGGAGGGGTGGGGTTCCTCTTTCTCTCGCCCCCCATCGCCAGTGCTGATGTTACTGCTGTCTCAGCACATTCTCCGGCCCAGGAGTTTAGGGGATTAATTGTTTGCAGCCCCTCCTGCTGGGGGGATTAGCAGCCCCCCCCTCGGCTGTTTAACCCTTGCGCTTCCTCTGGGTTCACGCTGCCCCGACAGGGGATCCCCCAGAAGTCCACAGGCTGGGGGAGGGGGGTCAGGAAGCCCCCAGCCCTGAATAACTAAAGAGAAGAAGGGATTTTACAGAGGCCTCAGCCGGCCCCAAAATTTCTGTGGCTGGAGTGAGACATTGATTAAGTGGGTTCTGCCTCGTTTTGTGACCTTCCTGGCCACGGTTGTTAAGTGAATCACTGCAGTTGTTAAGTGAGACACACGGTTGTTAAGTGCATCTGGCTTCCCCCATCGGCTTTGCTTGTCGGAGGGTCGCCAAAGGGGACCGCGTGACCCCAGAAGGCCGCGACCGTCGTAAATAGGAACCAGTGGCCGGGCGTCTGAATGTCAATCATGTCGCCACGGGGACACAGCAAGCGTCGTAAGTGTGAAAAAGGGCCACGAGTCGTTTTTTTTTTCCCCCAGTACCGTTGTAAGTTTAAATCAGGGGTCTTCCAACGTGGCCCTTGGATGACTGGTGGACTTCAACTCCCAGAATTCCTCAGCCAGGCACTGGCTGAGGAATTCTGGGAGTTGAAGTCCACCAGTCATCCAAGGGCCACGTTGGAAGGCCCCGTGTTTGTGTATTTTCTGTACTACTTCCGCTGCTGGGCTGGTGGTCTTGGACCCCGACGATGAAGTGGGGTGGTGCCCGCAGGCCTTTCTCGCTGGGCTGGCTGTGCCCCCAGCTGTGGGAGGAAGCGGGGGGGGGGGCGCTTGGCCCATGCCCCGCCGGCTGGGAGCCGGGCCAGGGCAGTTGGCGGGCGACCCCTGGGCTTCACACCCATCCAAGTCAGCAGATGGAATGGGGGCTGGCAGACCAAGGTGGGGCAGAGGGCCAACTGGCTGGCATCTGCTGAACAGGTGGGCTCCTTGCCATGTGCCTCCTCCTGGCCAGGTGCCAAGCCCCCTCCCCCCTCCCCCTAGCTCCTTCCATGCAGGCCCCACCCAGTTCAGCTGCAGCCCACCGCCTTGGCGCCTCCCCGGGGGCTGCACTCCTCCATAACTTCTTGGCAGGTAGCATAAATGCCCTGGGCAGCTTTGTGCCTGGGCTGCCACTTCCCCTGATTAATAATAATAATAGTAAAGTTGGAAGGGACCTTGGAGGTCATCTAGTCCAACCCCCTGCTCAGGCGGGAAACCCTATAGTCCCATTTCGGACAAATGGCTGTCCAATCTCTTCTTGAAAACTTCCAGTGTTGGAGCATTCACCGCTTCTGGAGGCAGGTGGTTCCACTGGTTAATTGTTCTGATTAAGGAGGATCCCCTTGCAGAGGGCTCTGGATGGGGGGGGGCAGAAAGGAAACCGGGGAGTCTGGGGGTTGCCAGGAGCCCCAGAGCGGAGTGAATCGGGCACCCTTCTTGCCAGGATGGAATCTGATCAAGGAGAGAAGCAACCTGGAACTAAGGAGAAACTTCCTGACAGTGAGAACAATTAACCAGCGGAACTCCTTGCCTCCAGAAGCGGTGAATGCTCCAACACTGGAAGTTTTTAAGAAGGGACTGGACAGCCATTTGTCTGGAATGGTGCAGGGCAGGGGTAGGCAACCTGGGCTCTTTTAGGACTCGTGGACTTCAACTCCCAGCTGGCTGAGGAATTCTGGGAGTTGAAGTCCACGAGTCCTAAAAGAGCCCAGGTTGCCTACCCCTGGTGTAGGGTCTCCTGCTTGAGCAGGGGGCTGGACTAGATGATCTCCAGGGTCCCTTCCCACTCTATTATTCTGATTGGCGGAGGGAGGGTGAGTCAGGGTTTGCGCTGTTGGCACCCGGTGCCAGAGTGACCTTTGCCCAGCGTCTGCTCAGCTGGACTTCCCGCAAGAGGCGGGTTGTGTTGGCATTGTGGTGGGGAGGGGGTGTGAGGCAGAGGGAGGGGGGCTTTGCAGAAGGACCCCACCTGAATCCCGGACAAACATCACACAGTCAGTCCCTGACTTACGGCAGTTCATTTAGTGACTGTTCAAAGTTACAACAGCACTGAATCAAATGACTTAGGACTGTTTCTCCCGCTTAATGACCGTCGCAGCCTCCCTGTGGTCACCTGGTGCTTGGCAACTGACTCATATTTATGACGGTCACAGCATCCCGGGGTCGCCTGGCCTTTTGGGGGCTTCTGACAAGTAGAGTCAACGGGGAAGCCATTTAACAATCATGTTCTTAGCCGAACAGTGGCCATGATTTGCTTAACGACGGCGGTAAGAAAGGTCGCAAAGTGAGGCAAAACTGACAACTGTCTTGCTCAGTTCTGGTCGTAAGTCCGAGGACTGCCCGTATAAAAATAAATTGGGGTGGCTAGGTTTTCCCGGGGGGGGGGGCAGCCTTCTCTTAGAACCTGCAGCTGCAGGAGCACTTTATCGGAGGACATCCAGTCCTCGGCTTACAACCGTGATGGAGTCTGGCCATTAAAGCCGTGACGGTCACAAAGGGCTCACTCACGTGACCGACCTGATTTTACAACCCTTCTTTGTGACAGTTGTTAAGCGAAATGATTGTTTACTTTGGGCCATTTTGGGGAGTTGAAGCCCACAAAAAAAAAAATCTTGGGGAACACGATCAGAAGCGACTTTTTTTCAGTGTCGTCACTAAATGAAGCATTGTAAATTGAGGACCGCCAGCTTTCTCTTGCCTGGCAATGCAGCCATGCAGGCAGGGAACTTGGCACATCGGCCACCTTGAAGGTGGGCACGGCAAGTCCTGGGCATCGGAACTGCCCCCCCCATGCCAGTTGGGTCTGTTTATTCTGAGCTGCGCAGAAGCCACGTCCGTTGTGTTGTTGTTAAGCAATCTTTGTCTTGCCCGTTGCGCTGTTGTTAGGCCGTGGTCGGGGGAGGCGGAGCCAAGGAGGCTGGTGGGTCTCAAATGGCTTGGCCAATGGCAGCCGGGGATCCCTTGACCTGCAGCTGAGCCATTAAAACCAGCCAGCCGCCAGCAGGATCCCCCTGTGGGAAAAGTTGCGTGTCGGTTGTGGCTGCGGAGAAAAGGGTTTCCCGCTCAGTTAAGCTGACACCATCGCAAAAGCCACAGAAATGTGGAGTTTCCCAATCAAAATCACAGGTGGGGGAAACAAAACATTCTAGTCCTCAGTGTCATAATCCCTGCACCCTCCAGGGCGGGCACGAAGCGCTTCCAGGCCAGGGCATTGGGACAGAGGAGCCTGCGGTTGGGGGGGGACGGCTTTGTCCCCTGGGCGGTGGGTATCGGGGCCGTCCTGGCACAGAGCAAGGTGGGCAAAATCTTTTGGGGGCCCGAACTGGACGGCCACGTTGCTGTCCTGGAGGCGAATCTTACCCTGCGCCTGGCCGTTCAATCTCCTGTTTCCTCCCGCAGTGAAGGCGTTTTCAAGTGTCCGGAGGATCAGCTGCCCCTGGATTACGCCAAGGTGAGCCCCGTGCTGGCCAAGGCTCTGCTGGGGGGGGGCCGGGGGGGTGATTTTGCCCCTCTTGGCAACTTCTGACCTGCTTCCTCCCCATTCTGCCCGCCTCTCTCTCCCTCCTGGGCTGGTCAGTCCAGGCAGGAATGACCGGAAGGCCCTGATGACCATGACAGGAATAATGGGGAGAGGGCTGCAGGGAGGGGGGGGGCTGGAAGGGGAGGGGAGGGGCTGCCTGGCTGGGCAGGGCTTTGCCTCTGAGCTCCAGTGAGGATGGGATCTGGATGGGCTTTGGTGGTGTCCAAAGGGATGGGTGGAAGGGAAGGAGGAAAGGAAAGGAAAAGGAAAGAGGAAGGAGGGAGAGAAAGGAGGAAGGGGGAGAGATGGAGGAAGGAGGGAAGGAGAAGGAAGGGAGGAAGAAGAGGGAGGAGGGAAGGAAGAGAGGGAGGAGGGAAGGAAGGAGAAGGAGGGAGGGAAGAAAAAAGGAAGAGGGAGGAAGGAAAGAAGGAAAGTAGGGAGGGAGGAAGAAGAGAGGATGGAAGGAAAAAAGGGAGAAGGAGGGAGGGAGGAAAGGAGGAAGAAGGAAGGAAGGAAGGACAAACAGACAGAGGGGGAGGATAAAGAGAACAGGAAGGGAGGAAGGATGGAAAGAAAGAAAAAAGGAAGGAAAGAAGGAAGGACAGAAAGACAGAGAGGGAGGGAGGGAGGATAAAGAGAGAACAGGAAGGAAGGATGGAAAGAAAGAAAAAGAAGGAAGGAAGGATGGAAAGAAAGAAAAAGAAGGAAAGAAGGAAGGACAGAAAGACAGGGAGGGAGGGATAAAGAGAGAACAGGAAGGAAGGATGGAAAGAAAGAAAAAGGAAGGAAGAAAGGATAGAAAGAAAGAAAAAGAAGGAAGGAAGGAAGGACAAAAAGACAGAGAGAGGGAGGATAAAAAGAACAAGGACGGAGGGAGGAAGGAAAGAAGGAAGGAAGGAGCCAGCCCCACCTGAGACCCCCCTAAGAGCCCCCCTTCGCCCTCCAGATTTACCCAGACCCCGAACTGGAGGCCCAGGTGTTGGGCCTGAGCATCAGGTGCATCCACAGTGAGGAGGGCTGTCGCTGGAGTGGGACCATCCGCCATTTGCAGGTGAGCTGCCCGCTGCCCCCTCCTCCTCCTGCTCGGGGGGGGGGTTGGGGCTGAAGGGAAGGGGGGGTCCCAGCCGGCCCTCCTCCCGCCTCGGAGTGACCCCCTCCTCCCCCTCCTCCCCCCTGGTCCAGGCCCACCTGGGCACCTGCAGCTTCAACGTGGTGCCCTGCCCCAACCGCTGTGGGGCCAAGCTGAGCCGCCGCGACCTGCCCCCCCACCTGCAGCACGACTGTCCCCAGAGGCACCTCCAGTGCGAATTCTGCCGAGCCGACTTCACGGGGGAAGCCTTTGAGGTGAGTGGGGGGCAACTGAGGGCGGGGAGGGGGGACCAGGAGGAGCTTCGGTGAAGGTGCAGCTGCCATAGGTTGTCCCTGGGGGGGGGGTCTTAAACAAACAACCCTGCAGTTGTGCGGCCCTGCCTGGCCTGCGGGTGTGTTGGGGAGGGTGTGAGCCACAATCGCAGCCTTTGTGCAGGAGGCAACGGGGGGGGCCAGGCCTTCTGCCCTGAATGTCCTCCCCTCCTGTGCACACCGGCTGGGGGGTGGGGGGGCAGGTGCCCCGTGGCTGCTGGGGAGGGGCTTCCAAGGGGTCAGCTGCGTCTCTCTCCCTCCCTCCCTCTCTTCTCTGGGGGTGTCACGTGACAGCCCCGTCATGCATGTGAGAGTTAGTGGCCTGAATTTTGATCAGGTGACCCCGGGGATCGTAAGTGGGGAATATCACTGTTTGCAGGGCTGTTGTAACTGTGAACGGTCACTAAATGAACTGTCATAAGTCAACGGCTGCCTGTAGTGCAGTGGTTCTCAACCTGTGGGTTGGGGTCGAACGACCATTTCATGGGGGTCGCCAAACAATGCAGTCCGCCATTTTTTCCCCTTTTTCTTAGCTGTGCTACTCCCTTTTATTCTATTGGCTTTCGAAAGCCAATAGAATAGACTCTCTTGAATAGAGTCTAATTCTATTGGCTTTCCAAAGCCAATAGGAATCGTCCAGACTGTCTCTGCCCTGCTGAGCCTGCCACGGAGACTTCCCAGCTCCCATTTTCTCCATCCACCTGGGCATTTCCTGGTGGCCTCCCCTCCTCCTGCTTTTCCTCCAAAGTCCTGGCTTGGAAGATCTGGGGAGCAGGACCCCCCCCCCGGCTCACTCTTCCCTTTCTCCAATTTCTCCCCCCCTCCCCTCCCTTTCCAGAACCACCAGGGGGTCTGCCCCCAGGAGAGCGTCTACTGCGAAAACAAGTGTGGGGCACGCATGATGCGCCGTCTGCTGTCGCAGCACATGCTGGCCGAGTGTCCGAAGCGCACGCAGCCCTGCAGCTACTGTGCCAAGGAGTTCCTCTACGACACCATCCAGGTGGGTCACGGGGGCCCCCGAAGGGCACACTGGCCTTTTGGGGGACGGGAGGCAGCTGGGGGGGACGCCCCCTGCTTGGTTAAGGGGGGGGCTGCGTGTGACACGCTGAGCCCCCACACGGGTGGGCTCTGGGAATGCCCTCATCCCGACTGCAGGGCCTTTGTGGCCCAAGGAACCTGGCTACAGAAAAGATTGGGGGGCATGTCTGTGGGGGGGGATTTGGGGGGCTCAAGGAGAGGGTCCCTTTGCATCCTGCTGCATAAGGCTCCCCCCCCCCGAGCAGCCACGTAGGGTGGGGGGGAGCTGGCTTGGTCTTTTGTTGCATCCCCACTTGGCCTTTGAGACTTCACGGGGTTCTCCCCAAATACTCGGGGGGGGGGGTGTAGCTCCTCCTGAGCAGCACTTGCAGAGTAGAGCTTCACTGCGGAAGGGCAGTCTACCTCTAAACCACAGAAGAAAGGCACATGCCAGTTGCCCTATTTGCCACATGGCCACAGGGGTGCCGCAACAGTCAGACGTGTGAAAAATAGCCTAAATCACTTTCTGGCAGTGCCGTTGTCACTTCAAACCGTCACTAAATGAATGGTTGTAAGCCGAGGACTTCCTGTAATCCGGCAGACGCTGCGCTGTGCCTTTTCCTCCCTCTCCAGAACCACGAGTACCAGTGCCCCCGCTACCCCGTGCCCTGTCCGAATCAGTGCGGAGTCCCCAACATCGCCCGCGAGGACTTGAGCGGGCACCTGAAGGACAGCTGCTCCACCGCCCTGGCTCTCTGCCCCTTCAAGGAGGCCGGCTGCAAACACCGGGTAAGCCTGCCCCCCCCCGCCTTCCCCAGAGCTGGCTAAGGACCCCATGCCCCCCCCCCGCCTGCCCTTGCCGGCTCCCTCAGCTGCCAGCTGCAGCCCCGTCTGGCCACCATGAACCTGTTCTGTCCCAGACTATAGCCGTCTTTGTTAAATGCACAAGGAAAACCCCCTTTTGAGAAATAGGCTGGAGACTCAGAAGAAAACAAAATATTGGTAACACACCTGCCAAATGGTCCAAAAACAAAAGCAACAAAACACAGTCCAAAGGGAGGCAATTGTCCACACGAAACACGATGCAAAACAAGGAGGTAGTCACTGGCAACACCAACAGAACATGATCCCATGAAGTACTTTGCAATGGTTGCCTTCAGCAACCAGCACCACCCACACCTTCCCTTTTTATACAGCAGCCCCAAGGTGTGGCTTCTCAGTGCCTTCTCCTCCGCCCTTGGAGTTGCCGTAGTGACTCCCTCTGACCTGCTCTAGTTAACTGCCTTCCTTTAGGAGCGTCTCTAATGACGTCCAGCTGTGAGTCCTCAGAGTCTGACTCATCTTCCCCACACAGCTGTGTCTCATCCTGACCACGATTGGAGAGGCCAGGCTCTTCATGAGATTGTGAGTCTTGTAACTCATCAGAGCCTCCCTCCAAGTCTTATTAGAATTTTATGCAGGATCTCTTCTTCCGTTGGGGTTTCCTTGTTCCTCCAATTTTGAGCAAAAACCAGCCTGGAGGCCGTTAAAATGTGTAGCATTAAATAAAATACGCCTTTGTCATGTTTTTGCGTAGTTAAACCTAATAGAAAGAGTTCTGGTTTTGGTTCTACGGCTTGCTCTAATATTTCTTCCAACCATATTTTAATCCTGTTCCAAAAATCACGAGCTCGCGTGCATTCCCACCACATATGATAGTAAGTTCCACTTTTCAAATTGCATTTCCAACATTTAGGGGAGACATTGGTATACATTTTAGACAATCTTGTGGGTGGGAGATGCCATCTATAAAACATTTTGTAAAGGTTCTCTTTGTAAGAGGTGGCCAAAGTAAGCTTCTTGTTTCTTGCCCATAGTTCTTGCCATATATGCAGATCAAAATTAAGACCAAAATCCGTACTCCAATTCAACATAGTCACTTTTACTTGTTCCTCGTACGTTGCCTGATCTAGCAAATAATAGTATAGTTTTTTAATCATTTTATCCTCCGACCCCAAAATTATTTTATCCAATTCTATTGGTTCTAATTTAATACCTAACTCTTTTTTGTCTTTCCGATATCTTGCCTGCAGTTGCAGGTATGCCCACCATTCTAATTCTATCCCTTCATCGTGGATGGTTTTCCTGGATTTCAATTCCCCTCTTTCATCTAAAATATTTTTATATGTTATGATCTTGTCTAATTGAGTAAATTTTGGGTGTACATATATTTCTAACGGTGAGATCCAACTAGGTACTTGGATATAATTTGGTTGCCAAATTTTTGTCCATACATCAATAAGAGCTTGCCTAATATAGTGACTTCGAAAATATTTATGTACTTTATATTTATGATCCCATAATATGGCATGCCATCCTATTTGTAGGTCATGGCCCTCCAGACACAATAGTCTCCTATTTTTTAGTAATATCCAATCTCTTACCCATACTAATGCTGCGGCCTGGTAATATTTCTCCAAGTCTTGATGACTTTCCAAACCCCTCTTCCTCCTCTGATTCCCCAGATTCAGCTGCCGGGTCCACTGGCTGGCATGGACTCACAACAGAACCTCGGCACGGAATCCATTTTTATTTTGATTTCCCCCGACTTCTTGCTCTGCTTTGCTCCCGTGGGAGAGCGGGACGTGGAAACGCTCTCTGTGCTGTGCCCACTGTAGTGCCACCTCTCTGGAGGAGCAGGCGGGAGGGGGTTTCCATGGCCAAGGCTGGCAAGCCACCAGATGGTAGGGGGGGGGGTGTTGTCTGGCTTGGGGCAGAGACCCTCACTTCAGTTGTGCGTGCACCAAGCTAAAGCACGGGGGCAGAGGAGTGCCGGATCCCTCCAGGGCAGTGGTTCTCAACCTTTTTAATGCCGCGACCCCCCCCCCAACCGGTCGTAAGTCGAGGACTACTCAACCGGTCGTAAGTCAAGGACTACTCAACTGGTGCAGCACCGTTTGCAGAATGAAATGGTCGTTCGACCCCAAATGGGGTCCCGACCCACAGTTGAGAACCACTGCACTACAGGCAGCCGTTGACTTACGACAGTTCATTTAGTGACCGTTCAGTTTAGTGACCACTCAGGTGACCCTGAGGACACAGATAAACCTCCAGGTGGCCTCACTGACTCTCTAAAACAGTGGTTCTCAACCTTTTTAATGCCGCAAACCCCCCCCCAACCGGTCGTAAGTCGAGGACTACTCAACTGGTGCAGCACTGTTTGCAGAATGGGACTTTTGGCGGGCTCAGCAGGGCAGAGACAACCTGGACAATTCCTATTGGCTTTGGAAAGCCAATAGAATTAGACTCTATTCAAGGGAGTCTATTCTATTGGCTTTCAAAAGCCAATAGAATAAAAGGGAGTAGCACAGCTAAGGAAAAGGGGGATAAAAATGGCAGACTGCGTTGTTTGGCGACCCCCGTGAAATGGTCGTTCGACCCCAAATGGGGTCCTGACCCACAGGTTGAGAACCGCTGCTCCAGGGGAACCTGGCGCTGCCTCTCTGTATACCCGGCCACTTCTAGTCGCCTCTCTCTCCTCTCCCAGTGCCCCAAAGTGTCCCTGGGCCGCCACCTGGATGAGAACACCAAGCTGCACCTGGGCCTGATGTGCGCGCTGGTGGCCCGCCAGCGCCAAGAGCTGGTCGAGCTGCGCCGTGAGGTGGAGGAACTGGCGGTGGGCAGTGACGGCGTACTAATCTGGAAGATCGCCGATTATGCCCGGAAGCTGCAGGAGGCCCGGCTACGGAGCAATTACGAGTCCTTCAGCCCCCCCTTCTACACCCACCGGTACGGCTACCGGCTGCAGGTGTCCGTCTTCCTGAACGGCAACGGCAGCGGCGAAGGCAGTCACCTTTCGGTCTACATCCGAGTGCTGCCTGGCCAGTACGACAACCTGCTGGAGTGGCCCTTCGCCTACCGGGTCACCTTCTCGCTGCTGGACCAGAGCGACCCCTCGCTCTCCAAGCCCCAGCACATCACCGAGACCTTCCTGCCGGACCCCGCCTGGAAAAACTTCCAGAAGCCCGGCACGGGGCGCACCTCCCTGGACGAGAGTCTGCTGGGCTTCGGGTACCCCAAGTTTATCTCGCACGAGGATATCAAGAAGCGCAACTACGTGCGCGACAACGCCGTCTTCATCAAGGCCTTGGTGGAGATCCCCCCCAAGATCATTTCCTGAGGGGGCGGGAGGCCGGGGGACGGAGGGGTGCTGGGGGTGAACGCCGCCCCCCAACTCTGGGTTTCCCCCACTTTGGAAAAACAGTTCTGCTTTTTTTCTGACCCGCCTCTCTGCTTCGGGTTGACCCCCCCCTCCCTTCATTGAAATGGTGCTAATTGCTGCGGGTTCGGGCCCGAGTCCAGCCTGGCTTGAGGAGCAGGGGGGGGGTCACTTTCTTCCCAGGAGCAGCTGGGCTGCCTCTGGGGGGGTCCCCCCATCTTCTTCCCAAGCACCTTTTGGGGTCTGCAAATACCAGCCGTGCGCTGGGCAACTTCAGGAAACCTGTCGGGCGAGGGGGGGTGTGCAGACCGGATCAGGGTCTTCCAGATGTGCACGGTGCCCCTATGAGCACTGCTCCCCCTTTCCGGGGAGCAGCTGGGGAGGGGTTGAAAGCCAGCTCCCCAATTCTTCCGTTGGGGCCCACCTTTGGACTGCTGGCCTGGACCTGTCCAGAGACCGGTGTGGAGGGGTGGTGGAGCTCCCCCTGGCCAGCACTCAAGAGCCATATTGTTGCCCGCTGGGGGGTCCTTTTGCCAGTGGGGGGGGGGCTGCCCACCAGCTGTAGCTGCAATCGCTACTCTTTGTCTCCCTTTTTTGGAGTTACCTTTTTTTCTGTCTTTTTAATAAACCATTTCTTGTATTTATTAATGGGGCTTGATTGATGGGTGGCCTCACGCCTCAGCTGTGGCACAAAGGCCAGAAAGAGGAGGAGGGGCAGGATTAGCCCCCCCCCCATACACACATACACAGCATAGCCATGTCCTCTCCTCCTCCTGGGAATTTGGAGGGGGCAGGGAGAAACCCCCCCCCCCGTTTAGTTTTAAGCTGCCTGGTCTATCTTACTAGAGAAGTGGAGGTTTGTGGAGTAGAGGAGGAGTAGAGGAGGAGGAGGTTTGTGGAGTAGAGGAGGAGGAGGAGCAGGAGGAGGAGAACTGTGGCGTCCTTGGTGCTGTTTGAGCCGGCTGGTTTTCTTGCAGACGTTTCATGACCCATCATCAGTGCTAGAAGGGAGGGGGGATTGTGGAGAGGGGGGGAGGAGGAGAAGGAAGAGGAAGAGGAGGAGGGGAAGAGGAAGGAATGAAGGGGGGAAGAGGCAGAGGAGAGAGAAGAGGATTCTGGAGTCTTTATTGATCTCTGAGCTGGGTGGTTTTCTTGCAGACGTTTCATGACCCATCTAGGGAACATCTTCAGTGCTAGAAGGGGGTGGAGGTGAAGAGAAGAGGAAGGGGGGGGGACTGGGGGGGTCTTTGCTGCTCTCTCATCTTGGTGGTTTTCTTGCAGGCGTTTTGTGACCCAACTAGGTAACGTCATCAGTGCTACTTCTCTGCCTATGAATCCTCTCTGCCGGTGACCCCCCCCCTTTGCAGGCTTGTGTTGCAGTTGTGGTGCGCCCCACTTTCTTTTCAGGAGCTCCAATTCCAGGGGCTGCCATTTGTTCCCACCCAACACCACCACCCCGTTTTCCCATCCTCCCACGGAGGTGCAAGGCCATAACTACTGTGGGTCTTTGGTGTTTTTTCCAGGCATTCACACACATACAAACACACACAGATACAGAAACATATATAAGTTTGAGTCTTTTAATGACTGGGTGTGCATTTCTCCTCCCTGTGGCTGCGTTCTCTGGATTCCTCCTCCCTCCAACATGGGCAGGGAGGGTTCCAGCTCAGGGCAGCTCTTAAAATATCTCCTAGCCCTGGAAACTTTGAATTATCTCCCAGCCCTGGAGCGTTTCTCCTGCAAGAAAAACCACACAAGTTGCGACCCAGAGTTTCTGCCACACAACCCTCGTGCCTGGGGAGGCTTCCTACCTCCCCCCCCCCCCCGGTCCCCAAATCTCCACCCTGGGATTGCAGGATTGTAATCAGGAGCAGTAAAACAATTCTCAAAGATTGCAAAGAATCTCTTGCAAGATACTACTATGGGATCGTGGGAGCTAATTTCAGCTGGAGACCCCTCCCCAGCCACCTTGCAGCCCACCTGTAGGAAGGGAATTTGAGGGGGCCCCACACTTCCCCAGTTGCAACCAGGGGCCACTGAAGAGCTGTGACGTGGCCAAGCCTTCGATCTTTGCAATCCACGTAAAATGAGATGGATTTTTGGTCTGTTTGTTTCTTTGTTCGAGCAGGGACAATCTTGAAGAGGATCTGCTCTCCACGCAAAGCAGGTTTTGCTGGTTTTGCGGCAAATTGTTGGATCTTTGTCCCCAGGGTCACTAGAGGCTCCTGCCCTGCTTGGATGCTGGAGCCTGGGGTGGGGGTGGGGGTGGCCTGCATTGACCCCCTAGGTAGGAGACGAGGGTCTCTTTCGTGCTGCAAACATTTATGGGAAACTGACTCTCCAGCTGGAGCATGGAGCATGCAAAGCACAAGAAGAAGACTGGGTTCGAGTGAATAGATAGAAATAGAAATAATAGAAATAGAATAGAATAAGAATAGAATAAAATATGGAAAGAATAGAATATGGAAAAAATAGAATAGAATGTAGAATAGAATAGAATAAAAAATAGAATAGAATAGAGAATAGAATTGAATATAGAATCGAATAAACTAGAAAACAATAGAGAATAGATTAGGAAAGAATGGAATATGGAAAGAATAGAATAGAATAAAATATGGAAAGAATAGAATCAAATATAGAATCGAATATAGAATAGAATAGAAAATAGAACAGAATATAGAATAGAATAGAAAATAGAATATAGAATAGAATATGGAAAGAATAAATATGGAAAGAATAGAACAGAATAAAATATGGAAAGAATAGAATAGAATGTAGAATAGAATAGAGAATAGAATTGAATATAGAATCGAATATAGAATCGAATAAACTAGAAAAATGAATAGAAAATAGAATAGAATAGGAAAGAATAGAATATGGAAAGAACAGAATATAGAATAGAAAATAGAATAGAATATAGAATAGAATATGGAAAGAATAAATACGGAAAGAATAGAACAATAAAATATGGAAAGAATAGACTATGGAAAGAATAGAATAGAATGTAGAATAGAATAAAAAATAGAATAGAAAATAGAGAATAGAATTGAATATAGAATCGAATATAGAATCGAATAAACTAGAAAGTAGAATAGAATAGGAAAGAATAGAATAGAATGTAGAATAGAATAGAGAATAGAATAGAATAGAATAGAGCTGGAAGGGACCTTGGAGGTCTTCTAGTCCAGCCCCCCCCCCCCCGCTCAAGCAGGAGAACCTACAGCATCCCAGAAAAGTGAAGTCCGGTCTCTTCTTAAACATCCCCAGTGATTTTCTCAGCTCGTGGCCTGGGCCAGTGGCTGACTCTGCCAGGTTAGTCACGGACCGTTAAAATTAATAATGGCCGGTCTTTAGTAATGGGAATAATATCTTTTGAGGGAGGGAGAGTGGCCACCTGCAGAATCAAATCAATGTCTGCCTGTTTGGGGTTTCCTTCCCCTCCCCGCCCTGACCCATTGAGGCCAGTCAGCCAGGCTGACGCCTCTCCTGAGTCAGGCCAGGTAGCAGGAAAAATTAAATTTTTTCCCCTCCCAGGACGAACCGGAAGCTCACCGGAGTCGGCTGCTTAGGAAAGGTCTCTGTTGGGGCACGTTCTGGATTTCTCCAGATTGCACCAGACTCTCCTGTTCTGGCCTGAAAATAGCTGTGACATTTAAGAGGGGTGTGTGTGTGTGTGTGTGTTTGTGTGTCTATGTATGCAAAGTTTTTTTCCCTTGCATACATACACACACACACACACACACACACACACACACACACAGGCTTTTGGGGGGTGGAATTGTGGCATTTTCAGCCAAAATGCCATTTCTAGATCCCGCCAGCGGTTCTGGACTTTGAATGCTTTGTGTCATTCCGGGCACCAGATTTTCAAAAATGTGGAATCAGGGAGAAAATAAAAAAAAAGGATTGCAGGGGGTGTGTGTGACACAACAGCCGTGTTCCAATATTGGAGGGGCTGCCCCAAAGAAGAGGATGGGGTCAACTTATTCTCCGAAGCAGGACAAGAAACAATGGATGGAAAGTGACCAAGGAGAGAAGCAATCTGGCATTAAGGAGAAATTTCCTGACAGTGAGGACAATCAACCAGTGGAACAACCTGCCACCAGAAGTTGTGGGTCTCTCATCACTGGAGGTTTTTATGAAGAGACTGGACAGCCACTTGTCTGAGAGGGTGTAGGACTTGGGTTTGGCTAGTCTAAAGAAAAGAAGAAAGAGGGGAGACATGATAGCAGCATTCCAGTATCTGAGGGGCTGCCCCAAAGAAGAGGAGGGGGGTCAAATTATTCTCCAAAGCGCCAGAGGGAAGGACGAGAAACCATGATTGGAAACTGATCAAAGAGAGAAGCAATCTGGAATTAAGGAGAAACTTCCTGACAGTGAGGACAATTAACCAGTGGAACAGCTTGCCACCAGAAGTTGTGGGTGCTCCATCCCTGAAGGTTTTTAAGAAGAGACTGGACAATCACCTCTCTGAGATGGTGTAGGTCAGGGGTAGGCAACCTCGGCATAGCTGACTCGGGAATTCTGGGAGTTGAAGTCCATGAGTCATAAAAGAGCCGAGGTTGCCTACCCCTGGTGTAGGTTCTCCTGCTTAAGCGGGGGAATGGACTAGAAGACCTCCAAGTTCCCTTCCAGCTCTATAATTCTATTATTCCATGGAAGGAAGGAAGGAAGGAAGGAAGGAAGGAAGGAAGGAAGGAAGGAAGGACAACAGATGGAAACTAATCAAGGAGAGAAGCAACCTGGAATTAAGAAGAAATTTCCTGACAGCTTGAACGATTAACCAGTGGAACTGCTTGCCTCCAGAACTTGTAGGCGCTCCAACACTGGAGGTTTTTAAGAAAAGACTGGACAGCCATTTACCTGGCAAGGTATAGAGTCTCCTACCTGAGCAGGGGTTGGACTAGAAGACCTCCAAGGTCCCTCCCAGCCCTAGGGTTTTTCTATGATTCATTACAGAGTTGTCTCTTTTTCAACTCTTGTTGGGAAAAAAAAGCCTAATAAAACCCAAGAAACAGGAAGAGGTAGACAATAATATCTAGACTAGAACTCACCATCGCCTGGTGAATGGCCCAATGGCCAGCTTTCATACCTACGGGGGGGGGCTAGAATTCACAGTCTCCCTGTTTCTAGCCTGGGGGCTTCACCACTAGGTTAAACTGCCTTGGCCAAATGCATTTTTCTTTCCCAATCAGGATTTCTCTCCCAGCTTCAGAATCTTTGCAGCTGGGGAGGCCGGTTAGATTCTCGTTAGCCAAAAATCAAAAGGAGTTGACTTAACACAGGGGTCTTCCAACGTGGCCCTTTTAGGACTTGGGGACTTCGACTCCCAGAATTCCTCAGCCAGCGTGCACACGCTGGCTGAGGAATTCTGGGAGTCGAAGTCCCCAAGTCCTAAAAGGGCCACGTTGGAAGACTCCTGACTTCACACCTTTTGCAACCCGCCAATTTTATTCCACAGCAGAAGCCTTGGCTGGCCAAAGGATGCGCCCAGTGAAAATGTCTTTTTACGCCTGGAAAGGAGATTTTTAAATAGCAGGAAACGCTCCAGTGGGCTCTCCGCCACCCGGGTTCGAATCCCGCTGCTCTGTTTTTATCGCGTGTTAAATTTTGCATCGATTGCTTCGTTTCAACTCCACCGGACGCCCTTCGGAAGCGTTTCTCCTTTCAAATTTTTTTCATCAGGGCCCTGGCTCTGGGGCTGGGCTACCTTTAGGCCTCTTTGCCCCCCTGCCTGGGGGAGGGAGGCTGGCAAAGGGGGCAGCTGGGGTGCCCAGCGTGGGGAGGAAGGCCGGCGGTGATGCCAACCCTTTAAAGGTCACCGGTGTGCAAAAGTAGACACATCTCAGCAGCTTTCAGTCCCGCTGGCTTTCCTTTTCAGCCTGGGGGGGGCAGGGGGGGGAACAGCAGGGCAGTGAGGATTAAGAGTGAAATCCTATCTTTTCTCTCCTCCCCCCACATCTCTCCGCCCAGCTTGTGGGCATTAGCCTCTGCTTTAATCGCTGACCCAGATGTCGTTAGGACAGGAGCTAATTCCCTCCATTTGGGGGGGGGGGTCTTCCCCCTCTCCCCAGCTGAACCTTGCAGGAAATTGCTGGTGGGTGGGGAAAGCAATGGGGGGGGGGGCTCTCACAGAGGCAGAAGAAAACAGCATTGTGCAAAAAGTGCAGAGACGAGCAAGGAAGGTGATTCGGAGGCTGGAACATATGAAGGACGGCTGCAGGAACCGGGTACTACGTCTAGTTAGTTTAATGAAAAGAAGGACTCGGGGTGACGAGTCCAGCCTTCCAATATTTGGGGGGGCTGCCACAAATAACAGGAGGGGGGTCAATTTGTTCTCCAGAAAAGCCTGAAGGCAGGACAAGACACAACGGATGGAAACTAATCAAGGAGAGAAGCAATCTGGAATTAAGGAGGAATTTCTTGACTGTTAGAACGATTAACCAGTGGAACGGCTTGCCACCAGAAGCGGTGAATGCTCCAACACTGGAAGTTTTTAAGAAGAGACTGGACAGCCTTTTGTCCGAAATGGTGTAGGGTTTCCTGCCTGAGCAGGGGGTTGGACTAGATGACCTCCAAGGTCCCTTCCAACTTTATTATTATTAACAACCTGCCTCCAGAAGCAGTGAATGTTCCATCACTGGAGGTTTTTAGGAAGAGGCTGGACAGACATTTGTCTGGAATGGTGTAGGGTTTCCTGCCTGAGCAGGGGGCTGGACTAGATGACCTTCGAGGTC